CAAAGTGAGAAAGCTGAAAATTGGCCTGGGGAGGAAGGGGGTGACAGAGCCCGATACTGAAGTGGTTAAAGTAGAACTCCAGTTAAATGTTTTATCCTCCAGTGCAGCGCGGGCACGTCTTGCCACGGGGCTCGGGGAAAAAGCTATACTTACCTCATCCTCCGATCCTCCGGAAAACTGCTCTCCCCCCACATCCAGCGGTGGAGTGTTCCTGCCATCCTCGTATCTGGCACGGGTCTATGAACGTGATGATGTCATGGAACAGCCCATTCACAAGACCGCTAGCGTGCGGAGGGGCAGGAGTGCGGGGGACCGGTCTTTGGCTCGGAGGATTAGGTCAGTATATCTCAGCTTTACGAACCCCTAGATCGAACATTTAACCCATGCAGTGCGGGCACAGACCTACAGCATTGCAAAATCAAAATTTTTTTCTGTCCAGATTCCTTCTTTAACCATTTGCCGCCCGCCCTATGGCCGAATGGCGGCCGGCAAATGTCATCAGCGTTCCGGGTGGACGCCATATGGCATCCTCCCACACATGCGCAGATTTCACTCCTGCAGAGCCGCACAGCGGCGTGATCTGTCACCGGCCATGTACCTCGGACACGGCCGATGACAGATCTGAGTATCGGCCCCCATTGGCGGTACCATGTGACCTGCTGTGACCAATTACAGCAGGTCACATGACAGTTGTATACAATGGATGGCTTCATTCATGCCATCCATTGTATACTAGTGTCTAGCTGTGAATGGTCACAGCAGGTCACATGCACATGTCATGTGATTAGCTGTGGCCAAATCAAAGCTAAGCACAGAAAAAAAAAAAAAAAAAAACCCTGAATGAATCGATGTCATTCAGGTAAATGCTTGCTTATAGCAAAGTAATTCTTTGCTATAAGCAAATTGTGTAAAAAAAAAAAAAAAAAATACTGATCACTTCCCCAAAGTAGTACAATGTTACTATGGTAACATTGTACTACTTTGGTCATAGTGAAATATGAAAAAAAAATCTTTAAAAAAAAAAAAAATTAATAAACAATGATAAAAAAAAAAAAAAAAAAATTTTTTGCATACTGTCACCAGTCAGTGTCCCTGATCACCGCCATGCCAGTTATATGATGACGCTGTACTGCACTGGTGACAGTATGTAAAAAAAAAAATAGTGAAACAAATTTTTTAAAATTTTTTAATTTTCCAAAAAATTATGACAAAAAAAATACAACTTCAAAAAACTTGCCATGCCTCTTATGAAGTACATCGGACTGTCTACTCTGCAAAAAGGGGTCATTTGGGGGGATATCTGTACTGTTCTGACATTTGGGGGATATCTGTACTGTCCTGACATTTGGGGGATATCTGTACTGTCCTGACATTTGGAGGATATCTGTACTGTCCTGACATTTGGGGGGATATCTGTACTGTCCTGACATTTGGGGGGATATCTGTACTGTCCTGACATTTGGGGGATATCTGTACTGTCCTGACATTTGGGGGATATCTGTACTGTCCTGACATTTGGGGGGGATATCTGTACTGTCCTGACATTTGGGGGATATCTGTACCGTCCTGACATTTGGGGGATATCTGTCCTGTCCTGACATTTGGGGGATATCTGTACTGTCCTGACATTTGGGGGATATCTGTCCTGTCCTGACATTTGGGGGATATCTGTACTGTCCTGACATTTGGGGGATCTCTGTACTGTCCTGACATTCTTGGACCTCAAGAAATTAGATTGGCTGTCAGTACTTCAGGATTGATCAATATTCAGATCTATACCATAGTTTGTGAACTCTATAACTTTCCTACAGACTAAATAATACATCCTAATTTGGGTTATTCTCACCAAAGACATGTAGCAGAATACATCTCGGCCTAAATTTATGAAGAACAATTATTTATTTGTAAACTTTTATAACAGAAACAAAGAAAAACGTGTGGTTTTTTTTTTCAAAATTTTCGGTCTTTTTTTTGTTAATTTAGCAAAAAATAAAAACCCCAGCGGTGATTAAATACAACCAAAAGAAAGCTCTAGTTGTGTGAAGAAAATGATAAAATTTTAGTTTGGGTACAATGTTGTATGACCGCGCAATTGTCATTCAAAGTGTGAGAGCGCTGAAACCTGAAAACTGGCCTGGGCAGGAAGGGGGTAAAATTGCCCGGTATTGAAGGGGTTAAGCATTTTCCTAACTTTTTTTCTTTTTTCTTTAATTTGTTTTAGAAAGTCCCGATCCATTTCACAACGAAGACAATGATGGCGCCCAACTTCTAAACCTGAGCCGTGGGAAGGGAGCCCGCCGGAAGAAACAGCAAGAATGGGAGAGTAAAAAGTGGCTAAGAGAGAAACGCCAAGAAATGTCCTCAATGTAGATCCAAGATTCAGGCAAGCAGATTGAAGGAAACCAGGGAACAGGGACTGAATATTCCTGAGGTCTCCAAGATGTGGCCCGGGGGGAGGGTTGTATTTTGGTTTTGTGCTGAGCTCGGCAAGACTAAAATCGGGCACCCCCCCGTATCTAAATTTTTCCCACCCCTTCCTGTTTAAGACCAACCCCTTCATCTGTAAACTCCACACCTTCCTCTTTAGGCTCCACCTCTTCATATTAGAGCTCTGCCCACTGACAACAATGATGGGGCACTATTCCTCCCACTGACACCAATGATGGGGCACTATTCCCTCCACTGACACCAATGATGGGGCACTATTCCTCCCACTGACACCAATGATGGGGCACTATTCCTCCCACTGACACCAATGATGGGGCACTATTCCTCCCACTGACACCAATGATGGGGCACTATTCCTCCCACTGACACCAATGATGGGGGCACTATTCCTCCCACTGACACCAATGATGGGACACTATTCCTCTCACTGATACCAATGATGGGGCACTATTCCTCCTACTGACACCAATGATGGGGCACTATTCCTCCACTGATACCAATGATGGGGCACTATTCCTCCCACTGACACCAATGATGGGGCACTATTCCTCCACTGACACCAATGATGGGGCACTATTCCTCCCACTGATGCCAATGATGGGGCACAATTCCTCCCACTGACACCAATGATGGGGCACTATTCTTCCCACTAACACCAATGATGGGGCACTATTCCTCCTACTGACACCAATGATGGGGCACTATTCCTCCCACTGACACCAATGATGGGGCACTATTCCTCCCACTGACACCAATGATGGGGCACTATTCCTCCCACTGACACCAATGATGGGGCACTATTCCTCCCACTGACACCAATGATGGGGCACTATTCCTCCCACTGACACCAATGATGGGGCACTATTCCTCCTACTGATACCAATGATGGAGCACTATTCCTCCCACTGACACCAATGATGGGGCACTATTTATCCCACTGATACCAACGATGAGGCATTATTCCTACTGATGACACCAAAGAATGGCATACTATTCCAGCCAATGACACCAACACTGGGGCGCTATTCCTTCTCCTAATACCAAAGATAGGGCACTATTCCACCCACTGAACGAATAGCTCAGCAATTTTTAATTTTTTTTATACTGTACAGGTGGTATGTAAGTAGTTTCACGTGAGATTTCAAAAGGACAAAGTGTAATGTGCTTTTTTTTATTTAGTTTTTTTTTTTTTTTTCAGAAAATGTCTGGGTGCAACAAAATGATCTGTACTCGGTGCGGAGAGTACTTTTGCTGGATGTGTGGGAAAGCATTGCTTAAATATGATCCATACGCCCATTATAAAGACTCTTCATCGGACTGCTCTCAGTATGTATATGTCCTCGGCTTGGGGTTGTATGGAAATAATCGATATTGATGGGATAGATCTAAACCTTGTTATCTGCGCACCAGACTTGGAGGAACTGGACTCTGGGAATGAAAAAAGAGGAGTGGTCACCGGCATTGCCCGTGTGGTCTCCCCGTAGCTGATCTTCCCCTTTACTTACCATGCTTCGTTCTGCACTGTGTGGAGGCGGCCATCTTGGTAGAGGACGGGCTTTTGCTTCCCCATGTCAGAGCCTCCAGCAAGGAGAACAGTGAGCAGCCCAGTAGTGACCTCACCAAATCTCACCCCAAATGAGACACTAGAAATCAGAGTCTACTTCAGTGATTTCCATTTCCAGGTATGCCATATACATATTTGCATTGGTCCAAGCTGGGCCAATATAACAATGTATAACATACCGATGCATGCAATTATTATTTACCCCTCCCCCCCAGAGGATTTCCCCCCCTTCCTGACCAGGGCGGATATAGTGAATGCAGGGTCCGGGGAGAACAGATATAGTGAATGCGGGGTCCAGGAGAACAGATATAGTGAATGCAGGGTCCGGGGGGAGAGCAGATATAGTGAATGTGGGGTCCAGGGAGAAACAGATATAGTGAATGCAGGGTCCGGGGAGAGCGGATATAGTGAATGCGGGGTCCAGGGAGAGCGGATATAGTGAATGCAGGGTCCGGGGGAGAGCGGATATAGTGAATGCAGGGTCTGGGGAGAGCGGATATAGTGAATGCAGGATCTGGGGAGAGCGGATACAGTGAATGCAGGGTACGGGGAGAGCGGGTATATAGTGAATGCAGGGTCCAGGGAGACCAGATATAGTGAATGCAGGGTCCAGGGAGAGCGGATATAGAGAATGCAGGGTCTAGAGAGTGGATATAGTGAATGCGGGGTCCGGGGAGAGCGGATATAGTAAATGCAGGGTCCGGGTGGGGAGAGCGGATATAGTAAATGCCGGGTCCGGGGAGAGCGGATATAGAATGCGGGGTCCGGGGAGAGCGGATATAGTGAATGCGGGGTCCGGGGAGAGCGGATATAGTGAATGCGGGGGTCCGGGGTCCGGGGAGAGCGGATATAGTGAATGCGGGGTCCGGGGAGAGCGGATATAGTGAATGCGGGGTCCGGGAGAGCGGATATAGTGAATGCGGGGTCCGGGGAGAGCGGGGGTTTCGGGGGGGAGGATATAGTGAATGCGGGGTCCGGGGAGAGCGGGATATAGTGAATGCGGGGTCCGGGGAGAGAGCGGATATAGTGAATGCGGGGTCCGGGGAGAGAGGATATAGTGAATGCGGGGTCCGGGGAGAGCGGATATAATGAATGCGGGGTCCGGGGAGACTGGATATAGTGAATGCGGGGTCCGAGGAGAGCGGATATAGTGAATGCGGGGTCCGGGGAGAGCGGATATAGTGAATGCGGGGTCCGGGAGAGCGGGAGGGTCCCGAGAGAGGATATAGTGAATGCGGGGTCCGGGGAGAGAGGATATAGTGAATGCGGGGTCCGGGGAGAGCAATTTATCTGTTTGCTGGTGTCTATTCCTCCTGGAGGCGGCAGTATGAAGGTGACTGACTTTGAGTGTCCCTAAAGGATTGTATGATTATGAAAATTCTCATTTTGTCTGTTTGATTGTCATACATAATTTAATTGTCGATTCCTATTTTTTAGGTATTCATGAACACATGTAACTCTGAAGTCTCCAAAATAAAACCCAAAAGTGGACTCCCGAAATAGACTCTGCGAGAACAATGGACCATTAGACAATGAGACAAATGGGCGAGGAGCACAGCCTACGGAGGAGAATTCAGATTCAGCTGCAGAGGAAGGAAGGAATCTCCCGGAGATGGACATTGGATAATTTCGATCACCTGTTTGTAATATAATATAGGACAACAAGGCTTTCCGGTGTTAACTTCCTGAGGCTCAAAATACTGACATTTAGAGCACTTGAGTGATTGGAGAGGAGCGCCGATGTCCAAAAAAGTTTCAATTTTTTTTTAGTTGTTTATTGCAGATAGAAGTAAACAAGTCGACGCGTTTCCGGGGAATTGCCTCCCCCTTCTTCAGGGCTGTAATTCTAGGAGAATGGTTGAGATCTCAGAGGGTTACATAATATTTAATCAGCAGCTCTGCATCAGGGCTGGACCTAGGGGGCGTGCTGGGGTGAGCCGTGCCCCCCCAGATTTTAGTTGTCCCCCCGTCGTCAGGACTCAGAGTGCATCCACTGATCCGTGAACCAGTGTGATGCAGAAATCTGATGTAAGGAGGCGCTGATGAATACAATCCACGAAAGGAGGCACTGTAATGTGGACACATGATGTAAGGAGATACTCTCATGGGGACAATTGATGTAAGGGGGGCTAAGTGACACTTTTAACACCCCTTCCCCCCCCAAAAAAAAAATCCCACAGTCATTGATGATCAGTGGTACACACACACCTTTAAAAAAAAAATCTCAAATCACTGATGGCCAGGGGCGGACTGACCATTCGGACACTCGGGCAGTGCTCGAGGGCCCGGGGTCAGTAGGGGGCCCCATGAGATGCCCCTGGTACCTTTCATAGGCTTTTTTGGGAGTGGTTTGAGTGTGGGTGAGGACACAGGGGCCCCATGATCCCCTATGGTCCAGGGGCCCCATGAGTTGTCATTCTGCCTCTGCTGATGGCTAACCCCCTCTCCTCCCAAAAACACACAGACCTTTAACCAATTCCTGCCCGGCCCATGTACATAAACGGCCGGACATGAGAAGTGCAGGAGCGGGTTGCTGTTCATAAACGGCACCCACATTTTCAGGTTGCGCGCTTCCTGGGAGTGTGCGGCACCGCGATCCGGTACCTGCTGTATCCACCGGACACAGCAGAACACCGATCACTGTTGGGGACCTCTGTGCGATGGTCCCGATCATGTGATCACTGATTGGCCATTCAGTGATCACATGAAGAGTAGTAAGCAAGATGTCACTTCTGACATCATTGCTTACTACTAGTGAAATCTGTGAATGATCACAGAGATCACATGGTACAGGGCTATTCACAACAGTCTTGTACCATGTGACCAATCACAGCTCACACAGTATTTCTCAATGGCTGCAAGAATGCAGCCAGAGAGAAGGAGAAATGATTGCTTTTACAGCCTTTATGGGTGTAAATTCAATCAGTGTAAAAAAAAAAAAAAAAATCTTCAACATCCCCCACAAGTAGTACAGTGTAACTATGGTGACACTGTACTGCTAGGGTGACAGTATGTAAAAAGAAACAAATAATAATATAAAAAAATAAAAATGCAAAAAAAAATATATATAATTTTCGGTTATAAACTAATTTGTTTTTGTTTTTTTTTTTCACTAAAAAGATAACCGAATACATTTTGGCCGAGATTTATGAAGAAAGATTATTTATTTGCAAAATTTTATAAGAAAAACCCTTTTTTTTTCAAAATTTTTGGACTTTTTCATTTACATAGCAAAAAAAATAAAAATCCCAGTGGTGAATAAATACCAACAAAATAAAGTTTTATCTGTCTCAAAAAAATGCAAAAAAATTAATATGGGTACAGTGTTGCATGACCGCCCAATTGTCATTCAAAGTGTGATAGCACTGAAAGCTGAAAATTGGCCGGGGCAGGAAGGGGGGTGAAAGTGTCCGGACTGGAAGAGGGTGAAAGTGTCCGGACTGGAAGAGGGTGAAAGTGTCCGGACTGGAAGGGGGGAAAGTGTCCGGACTGGAAGGGGGGGAAAGTGTCCGGACTGGAAGGGGGGAAAAGTGTCCGGACTGGAAGGGGGTGAAAGTGTCCAGACTGGAAGGGGGGGAAAAGTGTCCAGACTGGAAGGGGGTGTGAAAGTGTCCGGACAGGAAGGGGGTAAAAGTGTCCGGACTGGAAGGGGGGGAAAGTGTCCGGACTGGAAGGGGGGGAAAGTGTCCGGACTGGAAGGGGGGAAAGTGTCCGGACTGGAAGGGGGGGAAAGTGTCCGGACTGGAAGGGGGTGAAAGTGTCCGGACTGGAAGGGGGGAAAGTGTCCGGACTGGAAGGGGGGGAAAGTGTCCGGACTGGAAGGGGGGGAAAGTGTCCGGACTGGAAGGGGGTGAAAGTGTCCGGACTGGAAGGGGGGAAAAGTGTCCGGACTGGAAGGGGGTGAAAGTGTCCGGACTGGAAGGGGGTGGAAAGTGTCCGGACTGGAAGGGGGGGAAAGTGTCCCCGGACAGGAAGGGGGTGAAAGTGTCCGGACTGGAAGGGGGTGTGAAAGTGTCCGGACTGGAAGTGATTTAAAAACCCACAGCCATTGGTGGTCAGTGGAACCCTAACTCCACACAACCCAAAAAAAGTCCACAATCATTGATGATCAGTGGAGCACCCCCAAGCCTCCCCCACACACACACCTTTAAAAATCTCAGTCGTTTGTGGCTAGAGGCACTTTAACCCGGCGCTTTATATTTATCATGGACATTTTATTAATGCAATTTAATTTGAAGATGTTCTTTTAGGTGGTTTATGAATTTTTATGAATGTAATGTATTAAGGGAGACTATATATAGGTTTTTATTGCACATAATAAGTGCTGTGGAATTGGAGTAAACACTTTAAAAAAAAAACTTTAATAATAATTTTTAAGTTTTTCAATTTGTTTTCTTTTTTATTATTTTTTGTACATTTTTTTCCCCATACTGTGACCAGAGCAATACAGCATTAACATAGTAACACACTACTACTCTGGGGAGGTGATCAGGATTTTTTCTTTTTTTTACACATTGATTGCCTATACCAGTGATAATCATTGTTATATGCAACCACTTTTATGAATGAAATCCATTCATTCAGTGTATAGTATTGCGATTTTCAATAATTGGCCACAGCCAATCACATGATACAATGAGCTGTGATTGGCCCTATCTGTACCATGTGATTACTGTGATCAATCACAGGGATCAGCACAATAGTACACAATAAACGGCTATGAATGGAAGCTGTTCATTGTGAACAATTGTGATCTGCTGTGATTGGTCACAGCGATCACAAGGTACAGGCAGCAGCACAGTACACTGATCTGTCTTCGGCTGTGTCTGGTGGACACAACAGGTGACAGGTCGTGCGGAGCGCATGATTCGATATCCTGGGAGGTCATCGTATGATCTCCACACCGGATGGGAATGCTACAGCCATAAATTGTCTACAGGCCGGGAGGGAGGGGTTAAAGTTGTATCTCCACTTTTGAAGCTAAGTCGGGATAACGCCTGTTTTTATATTTTGTTACATGTTCCCATTCACAGAGCATAACTTTTTTTTTTTACTTTTTTTTTTTTTGTTTACAAATGATTTTATTGTATGAAAGTAGACTGTAAAACAAACAGTACATTTTCGCATAGAACTTACAGCAAAAAACAAGGCACTTTTGAATAGTACAATACAGAAAAGCATATTAATGTAAGAGAGAGAAGGAATAGAGAAAAAAAAATAGATTGCGAGTACATGAAATGTGTAAATGATATGGTAGGTTAAATGATACAACTTTTTTACCCTTTTTATTATTATTATTATTATTACTACTACGAGTTTATATAGCGCCAAAGGGTTTGCTCAGCGCTGTACAATAGAGGGGGGGACAATACATGGCACAGTACAACAAGAACAGCCAGCGTACGAGGGGTAAGAGGGCCCTACTCTTTCGAGCTTACAATCTAGGAGGGAGGGGGTAAAGGTACAGTAGGAAGCAGCTGAGGGGGATGAAGTGGTGGGAGGAATGAGGGAGGATGGCCGTTAGGTGAGGGTGGGGTAGGCTTCCCTGAAGAGATGGGTTTTGAGGGAGCGCCTGAATGTGAAGAGGGAAGGTGACAGTCTGATGGATTGGGGCAGTGAGTTCCAGAGGATGTGGGAGGACCTGAAGAAGTCCTGCAGTCGTGCGTGGGAGGAGGAGACCAGGGAGCAGGATAGAAGGAGGTCCTGTGAGGAGCGAAGGGTACGGGTAGGGCGGTACTTGGGGATCAGGTTGCTGAGGTAGTCAGGGGCAGTGTTGTGAACGGCTTTGTAGGTCAGGGTTAGGAGTTTAAATTTGATGCGTTGGGCAATCGGGAGCCAGTGGAGGGAGAGGCAGAGGGGGGTGGCAGAGGTGGAGCGGCTGGTGAGGTGGATGAGTCTGGCTGCTGAGTTCAGGATGGTCTGGAGCGGGGAGAGCCTGCACTGGGGTAGGCCGGTGAGAAGAGAATTACAGTAGTCAAGGCGTGAGATGATGAGGGAGTGTACTAGAAGTTTGGTGGTGTCTGGGGTGAGGAAGGAGCGTATCTTGGCAATGTTGTGGAGATGGAGCCTGCATGTGTTTGTGAGTGATTTGACATGAGGCAGGAAGGAGAGGTTCGAGTCAAGAATGGCGCCAAGGACTTTGGCTTGCGGGGCGGGAGTGATAGTGGTGTTGGTGGTGATGATGGATAGGATGGGGGGGGGGGGTGCGGGCTGGGGGAAAGATGAGGAGCTCGGTTTTGGAGAGGTTGAGTTTGAGGAAATGTAGCGACATCCAGTCTGAGATGTCATTTAGGAGGTGAGTGA